CCTTACCTTGCCTTGCCTTGCCTTACCTTACCTTACCTTACCTTACCTTACCTTACCTTACCTTACCTTACCTTACCTTACCTTACCTTACCTTACCTTACCATACCATACCATACCATACCATACCATACCATACCTTACTTACTTACTTACTTACTTACCTAGCAAACTATCTAACCAATTAACTGACTAACTGACTAACCAACTAACTAACTAACTAACTAGCTAACTAGCTAGCTAGCTAGCTAGCTAACTAACTAACTAGCTAACTAACTAGCTAGCTAGCGAGCTAGCGAGCTAGCTAGCGAGATAGCTAACTAACTACACACGAAAGCCACCCCCCCCCAGCTTCAGGAGTAGCAGCACGAGTACCGAGTACCCACCACCAACAAGCACAACCAGCACCAAGGGCATACTCATGAGAGTGTTGGTGGTGCTACTCCTGCTGATGCAACATGTGCTACTGGTACTACTGCCACGGCGACGATTTATGGCGACCAGTTGTGTTTCTGATGCTGATACAGAGAGTGTTTTGGACTACAAGGTCCCGAGGCTTCTTTTTCTGAGGCATCCCAGCACCTGGCACAATCAAGCCTGCTGCTACCACTGGCTCCCGCACCTCGAATCCACCGGCATCCCGTATAGGCTTCCAGGATACCCTTGGGCAATTTTCCTGCGGACCCCTTAAGGAAGCATTCTTAAGGAACTTTCAGGAGGACTATGTGCATCTTTGATGGGGCCATCATTCCTGGCTAAATCTATTCCGGCAAGAGCCAGAGGCCAGAAACTAGGAGTGCAGCCTTGATGCTAGTTTCCATCTTGGTTCCACCGCATAAGGACGTTTTTCTTTTGGTGGCCTTTGTCAGTGAGCCCGTGCGTCTTGCAGGATGTGTCAAGTCTCATCAGTGCTACCAGCTACCAGGACTTCTTCATTGCGATCGTCCTTCGCATGTCGAGTGCAACATGTATATTCTCAGCAAATTTGGAAACTGCCCACGATTGTCTTTGTTTCGAGCTCTTGACCCTGTCTTTCTATGTATGCACGCAACTGGATCGCCAGCTCTTGCTGCCCTATCTCGGCACCCTTGTCCTTTCGTGATGGGTTCAATTGAACACATCTCGAAATCCCGATTATCACCATAGCATAATATACCCCTAAACCCTATATTCTACGTAATTCTTAAAGCCCCGTTTTTTAACCCCTGAACCCCGAAACGCTGCACACTGGAGCTCCTCGCCAGTTGATGCCTCCGACATCGGAGTTCTGAAAAGCCTTAAGGTTAACGTCGAAAACACCCCGAAACTCTAAACGAAGAGAACCCAACCCTAAACGCGAACCTACGCCGTATTACCTCTTCCTTTGTTCACAAGGAAGAAACTGAGAGAAAAGAATGGTGCAACTCCCGAGCACGATAGGGGTCCGAATAATTGCAAAACAAAGTATTCCCTTATAATCCCTTTCTCATACTACTGCAATATACCCAAACTCTGTTCCAAATTTTTCAGGAGACACCCCGGACCGATCGATATCCCGGCGGTTGCAGTACATACGCCGAGCTCAGCTGTGCAGGGCAAGTTTAGGGAGCCAGCAACTTAAGCTACAAGGCAGGCCAATAGTTTGTTCCAGAAGCCTTAATTCGTTCATGTGCAAGGACACTGGCCTGACTTTGCACGGCAGCCGCCAGTTTTGGTTTCATCTTGGGCTGATCCCTACACGGACCCTAAAGCCAAAACCTGGGATCCAGGAGGGCTTGCCTCAAATTCAATATTGATGCATCCTGTCCTGTTGGGATGATTCTGCAGGATTGATACTGACAGTCTGGTGTTGGTTCGGCTGAGATCGTGTTGACGATTCGCTTGCCTTTCGGATTGAAGGACCGGGTTTCCGGATCACAGCATACCGGAGCCGAGCAAATGCTCGAATTCTGGAGGATGTCGTGCAGGTCGCGTCGCCAGTGTCCTTCCGACCCCAGTTTAGACTTGATGCTTCCCAGCGATAACCACAGCAGGAAAGCAGCTCCAGGTTTAGAGTTTAGGACTTGTCGTCATGTACTGTAGTGGTTTACGTTTCACAACAGCAGCAAGAGCAGGAAGAACAACAACCAGCAGCGCTGCTGGATCACATTGACAACCCTAAACTCTGCGATGAACTGCCGTGGCCCACCGCTCCCCTACGGTCATAAATATAAACGGAAGTCCCAATACACGTAATAATTACTTATTCAGAATGCCGGTAGATGTTCACTGTACTGACTTGCCCGCAGCATTGGTCTTGGGGGCACTCGGGGCTTAAAATTCTGAAGGCGCTGAGGTCTCAGATGTCAGATGTCATGCTAATAGGGTTTAGGGTTTAGGGTTTAGGGTTTAGGGCCTGCAAGAGCGCTTGGAGTGCCAATCCTGCTGGAGAGTAGTAACAGCTGCGTGTGCACCACGCTAGACCGGGCTTCTGCAATCTTAGTTCTCGATGAAATCGTTGGAAAAGTGGTGTGGCCATGTCTGCCTCAGCTCTATGGCTTCGGGTCTTACCTATAGTCTCCATTGTAGTTCCTTTTTTTGGTTTAACCAATAATATAATAAGGAGTTTATAAGGTATCCCCAAAAAGGAACTACAATGGAGACTGTAGGTAGCCTCTAGCCGAAGGGTCCACTACCTGTCATTTGTGCTTGGAAGCTCCCTCTTGCACTCAGAAGCTGCAGTTCTACTGCTGCGAGTCTCTTGTGGCAGATCTACGTAAAACTGCATAATTTACTCTCTGCATATATATATATATACATCTCTCTC